AAAAAAAAAAAGTCTTTATTAGATCCACAGAAGAATTCTAGAAAATGAAAAAGTATCTCAAAGCACAGCAAAATATTGGTTTAATAATGATGAAATTATGAATAGGATCTTATGCTTTAAATTTTGTAATATACAGTCTAAAACAAATAGATGATTATCCATTCTGCAACAGATGAGAACAGTGGCAGGGGCATATAAAATCACACTCCCAAGCTTCAAATGACTAAGTTGGAAGCATAAGCAAACTCCAAGAAGGGACAATTCAGAGGCTATAATGGGCTCAGTGCTGCTATTTAAAGTAATGAAGAGTTATAAAGTAAAGCAGAGTTATTTTCTCTGCTTTCTGGACTCATTTTACCAAATGATTTCCTCAGCAGGTCAGATATAGATTTGCAGCAAAATGGAAAACATTTTCCAGGAATAAAACAACTGAGCCCTTCGGAGCAGCTGACTTAACTTCTCTAAATAATAAATCTTGACCTGACATGCCTGGATGCCTCAGAGTGTTGTCACTGATATTCTCAGCCTCTCCCTAACCGTGCCAGGCCCTTATGCTTCATGTTTACAGAGCACTACTATTGAGAGGGAGTCACTGTGCTGGCTGTGTGACCTTCAGCAAGCTATTTAACTTCTTTGCCTGTTAGCTTTTCCAGCTCTAAAACTGGAGTAACAACTCCTACCTCATTAAATTTTAGTAAGGATTAAATAAGTGCTTTCTAAAAGGGCCTTAGAATGTACTAAATACTCAATAAACCTCAGCTTTATTTATTTTATTTTATTTTTTAGTAGAGAAGGGGTCTCGTTTTCTCAGGCTGGTCTTAAATTCTTGAGCTCAAGCAATCTACCCGCCTTGGCCTCCCAGAGTGCTAGGATTATAGGCGTGAGCCACTGCGCCCAGTCAACCTTTGCTTTTACTATTGCTATTGTATAACAAAGCTTTTCCCTGGTACCTACAAAACTTTGCTCACTTTTTTTTTGCTTATAAGCAAAGCCTTAGTTCAGAATTTCCAAATCTCTTAGCTATAAAGAGGAAACAATTCTGTTTCAAATGCCTGATCCTTTAGATTTTGGACTCAGAATAAGAATTAACTGAAGCTACCTCAATGTATCCAGGACTTTATGTGCTTTCAAAGTATTTTACATTAATTCATTTGGATCCCTACCAAGACTGTGAAGAAAGTATAATAGCAGTTTTTATTATGCCAATTTTAATTTTCTTTTTTTTTTCTTTTTTTTTTTTTTT